TCCCCCAATTCATGTCAGTGTTAAACGTGAGCCCCAAAAGATGTGAGGCTCTCCTGGAGTTTAGCATCAACAGAATAAGTTCACTGTGGTGGTTAAATGAAACCAGTTTTGTTTGAGGCTTTCATATTTACAAGCCATTTCTTGCCCCAGTTAACCACTAATGGTAGGCCCTTTTCATGAGCAGTTGTCAGGTTTACTTTGTCGGATCTGTCAGATTTACACCCAAAACGGGAGTAAATTGATGTATTGATATGTATATACTTATATTGATACTTATTGATTGTTATATTGTTACTTATATTAATAGGTATTGATACTTATAATTATATACTTATATGCTTATATTGATAATTATATTGATACTTATATTGATACGTATTGATACTTATATTGACATACTTATATATTTATATTGTTACTTATTGATACTTATATTGATACCTATCAATACTTATATTGATATACTTATTTACTTATATTGGTGCTTATACTGATACGTATTGATACTTATATTGATATACTTATTTACTTTTATTCATACATATTGATACTTATATTGATATACTTATATACTTATATTGATACTTATTGATATTTATATTTATACTTTAGTCAGTCAGTTATGTGCCATGCGTGATACACGCTTAGGCGATCATGTATGTTTCGACCAGTTGCCATCCAAGACTATAGAACCCTGTCTGTCCTGCTATTTACCCATAGTTAGGGAGAGAAGCAGAGCATTCATACCTTTCCCCAAAGGCATTAGCACGCAAGGGTATTTAGCAATGAAATTCGAACTCGGTTCACCGATACCTCAATCCGCTAACCATTACTCCACCGCTTATATTGATACTTATATACTTATATTGATTCTTATTGATACTTATATTGATACGTATTGACACTTATATTGATATACTTATATAGTTATATTGATACTTATTGATACTTATATTGATACGTATTGATACTTATATTGATATACTTATATACTTATATTGATACTTATATTTATATACTTATGTTGATAATTATATTGATACTTATATTGATATACTTATATGGATATCTATTTATACTTATATTAATATACTTATTTACTTATATTGTAACTTATATTGATATTCATTAATACATATATTGATACTTATTGATACTTATATAGCGATTTTCTAAGCGCTGCTTAGATGTGGCACAGGGCCGGAAGTATGGAGCACCCAGTGAAGATTGAACTCATTACCCAGTCGTAATAGGTTCTAGCGAGACAAGCTTATTGATACTTATATTGATATACTTATATTCTCATATTGATACTTATATTTAACTAATATAATGATATTTGACATTAAAGTGCGTGAGAGGTGGGGCGGAGGCGACCCCTAACATCAAACCTTGGAACCCTATCTTATTTTTCTATTACTAAACACATCCCAAAGTTATGAATATCTATGTGGATATCACACTATTATATAGGTGCACCTTTAAATATCTGAATGACCAGAAGCTGGAAGTTCATCTGACTCAGACCAGTCCAAGTAGCTCAATGAGGGTGGGATTATTGGCTTGTAAAATTCAATACACCCCAAATCCAGCTACTAAGGTTCCACCACCACCAAGCAGACCTTCCACCTATCCTGAGAGAAGAGTTTTCTATCAAGTAGGCTTTTGGGGTTAAAAGTACAGGGTGTCCCAAAAAATTTGACATCATTTTAAAAGCAATTATCTTGAAAACTACTAAGTCTAGCTCAATGAAATTAAACAGTTTAGGTGTTGAATATCATCAGTTTATTATGGAACCAATTTCATAAGTGTGCACCGCCTGGCCTGTGACACGGCACACGTCAAGTCGGTTGTTAAGCTCTTGCCAAACACGCTGAAGCATGTCTCCGGTAACATTATCCAGTGCGGAAGTGATTCTCTGTTTGAGTTCATCAATACTAGCAGGAAGAGGGGGACATAGGCCAGTCCCTTCACATATCCCCAGAAAAAGAAATTACACGGGGACAGGTCATTAGAAAACTGTCTTCATCTCCACAACGCCCAATCCATCACTCTGGCAGATTCTCATTGAGATAACAAAAATAAAACATTAAATATAAAATCTTGATCTGTTTATAAACATTCGGTTAAAATTTGAGGTTATTTAAAAAAAAATATTGGCCTGCGAAATGATGTCAGATTTTTTGGGGGACACCCTGTACATTGCGATTCAGGCTCTCCCCAAGCAGAACTCTCTATATACACTCTTTTTATGAAGTCGCTTGAAAGATGATCCCTTGATTGCACGGCTCTAGTAACTATCTGACTACTACTGTCATACTCTATCATCACAAAAGCCAGATTAGACGAAAAATGGGTTATTGCTGCCATATCTGGACTGGAGCTGCCCAGTTTTTACTTGTCCTCTTGATAGAGTCCACCCTATAAACCCTTTCTCAAAGACGAAACGTAGCGAGCCTTTATCGCTATTTCCATGGCATATGTTCTGACGAGTTATATTCCTTCATACCATTAACCTTGACATTTGCAACTGGGACCTCCCATTCTAAGTACACAAGGAGGAATCATCCCCGTTCTATTCTTATTCCATTAGAAAGAAGTTCCACCCAGACAATCTTTTCCTAAGAACTTATGCTTTCTGGAATAGACAACGACAGGATGTTTTCACGATCCCTACAGAATTGACCTCTTCAAGTCTAGGGTCGAGTGTTATGTTTCCTGCATATCCTCATTGTTGTAACCTAGGGAAGGTTACTGAATAGAATAATCACACGAAGGTTGGTAATGAACGATAATACTTAGGACAAGAACAACGCATATAAGATTCGCCAGCGGCGCGTAGAAGTAGTAGTCAACTGCTAGAAGTGAGTCAAGTGAATTCCACAATACCAACCGCCCCACGTGATCAGATATGGCACAAGGCCGAATTTAATGTTGGGTATTCGAACCCGTAGGATCAGCCAAACATTTCCTGTACACCCCGTATAAAATGGGTTCAGGTAGCTGTTTCCCGAGACGACACTCTGCCCTTCGACATAGCCTCGTCTGGGGATCCTCTCTGCCCGGAGGCAGGGAGTTTGACCAGCACAGCTGGAGACGAATCTCCAACTGCAGACCAACATACAGTATTTACTACTGTATTTATGTGAATAGAGACACACCCATTATCGTCCGTAGGTATTCTACTCATATTAACATCATTTCTTACCTTTTCTTACACTTATACAACACCACAAAGTAATCATCTACATTGAGTGGCTCTTGGGTCTTGTACTAGGTGAAATGGAGTATTGCTATTATATATGGGCTGGAGCTGCCCAAATCTTACTTAACAAGCTTGAGTTCAAAAGCTTTTACGCGGACTGTGGGAGTGATGAAAAATTATCCGCCTTACAAACCCTTTCTTACAGATGAAACATTAGTAGCCTTTTGCTATTCTGTCGTTATTTCCATGGTAAATGTTTAAACAAGCTACATTTCTTAGTTCCACCAGTTCAGACTTTCACAGCTAAATGCAACATACACAGGGTCCAATCATCGTCATTCACTTCTTATTTGATTTTTAAGGAAGAGGTTTCATTCGGGCAGCTTCTTTTCCAGAATTTTTCCAGACTTCCGAGTGATCTTTCCCTAGATCACTACGATCTTAATCACTCTAGATCTAGGGCAAACTTTTTTTTTTAAGCAAGCAAAAAAAAAAAAAAAAAGGCGGGAGTATCACTATCACGCAAAGGGTTACAGAGAGTGAGAGTAAGAGTAAAGAGGAGTGTTTAGGAAAAGGATAAAGAGAAGGACAGGGATCTAGGTCAAGGCATCAGAAGATGTCGATTGACATTACATTTGAATATTTGAAGGTTATAGCTATCAGGGAAGCAAATGATAGGAAGGGAATTTCACTGACGAGAAGTGCGAGATAAGAAGCTGTTAGAGTAGAGGAGATGTCTACATTTAACCGTTTCGACAATGAAAGGGTGGGACCGAGATGCCAACCTAGTAGCACAATTAAATTCATGCAGTTTGGGAACCATTGAAAGCAGTTCGTCAGAGCAAGTTGCCCTGAAAATACTTGTAGAAAAGACAGAGAGAAACCACAGCACGTCTGTGAGAAAGTGACTGTAGACGATGTGCCAGATCAGGACCAATCATATTGCATATCCGTCTCTGGATTTTGTCGAGGACCACGCGATGAACAGCGGGAGCACCAGGCCATATATGGCAGCAATATTCGTACGAATGGTTGATTTGTAGATTTGAAGGATGGATTCGGGTACGAAAAACTATTATGTACCCTATATATACTTATTACTTCTAATTTTTACCCCTTTACGCACTGACAAGAAATTCTACTTTGATTAATTGATTCGTTTTCTACGGATTATCAACCCTCTACCGGTTATTTAAACCCAGAAAATATTTTTAGATTGTAAGAATACTGGGGGGGGGGTCGATGGGAGAAAATAATAATTTAGTAATACAGGATTTACTAATTAAACCACAGTTAAAGGCAGAAGGGGTGGATTCATACATTTACCAAGGTTATTTCTGAATATAACGAACCCAACCAGAATTGGAACTCGGCTCTCCGATTAACAATTCGGAGCCATCATCCATTACACAACCTTAACATCCATGCTTACAGCATCTGGTATTCACTAGCGGTCGCCCATGTAGGCACTGACCAGTCTCGATGTTGCATAACTTCGGCGATCGTCCGGGAACCTGTGTTTCACCATGATGTGGCCGTAAGCCCCAATCGAAAGGGTGTCCTCTTCTATCAGTACAACATCATATCACACATCTCTTTGCAGTCCCGACAGAAATTGGTATAGCTTGGCTGGGATATCCTGCAACACCCACCGTTCTCACCTGACCTGTGTTACCATTTGATCCCTACATCTAGATACTGACCAGGCTTGACGTTGCTGAACTTCGGTATTCGTACGAGAATCGGTGTTTCAACGTGATATGGCCGTAAGCCATAACATCCGCACATCCGAGCTTTCAGTATCTGATCTTCCCAAGCAGTCACCCATCTAGGTATAGACCAGGCTCGACTTTGCTTAACTTCCGTGATCGTACAGGAATCGGTGTTTCAACGTCATGTGGCCGTAAGAGACCTCTACTAGGAATGTCTCTTATCTTATTATCGATTATTAGACCACCCTTATCCCATCGGGTCAACCTTGTTGTGTTTACTGTTTACATTTAGTTTCATGGGAATGTTGAGATATTTTAAAAATACATTTATTTGCAGTTATTGATGTTGCTTTCAACATTAAAAAATGTCTGTTTGAAGAAAGTCGAAATTGAAATATTTAAAATATTGTTTGTTTAAAGCTGAAATATAAATAAGCACGTACGAAATCTCAGAGGTGGAAAAAGAGGGAGTTTTTTTCTCCATTTCATTCTCTTCCCACCGCTTCGTACATGATAATAAATACTTTCTTTCAACCACTCTCTATGACTTCTGGCAAACACACAAGCAATGTTCATAGAGTAATATATATTATATATATATATATATATATATATATATATATATATATATATATATAAAGATGATAAAGAAACAACGGTGTCTTACTCCACTTCAAAGGATTCCCCTTGGGGCCCTCACACACTTATCCCAGTATTTATTATTGTAAAAGTTATATAAAGTTGAAAGCTTATATAGTTTGTCATGTAAGAGATTGGATTTTTAACGCTCCGGAGTAAAAGCTCAAACAAATGCAATATACAAAGCATATGGAAATGATTCAGCCATTTAATAATAACTAAACAACCCGTGACCTATTGGCCCAACCTTGTTGTGTTTACTGTTAACATTTAGTTTCATGAAGAATTTGTGAAATAAGAGATATTTTGGTTTGGTTTGGTTTGTTGTATGGCCTGTCAATCTCAATGGGTTATTTAATGCCAAGATTGCTGGTAATACTTTTTTCCAAAAAGTATTGCTGGTAATATTTTTTTCTAAAATGTACAGCAGATAATCTTTTTTAAAAAATGTAGAACTGATATCTTTTGTTTTCAAAAATGTATTGCTAGTAATAAAGTATTGCTGGTAATTTTTTACAAAGTATTTCTGATATTAAAACCTATTTTTACATTTTCATAATGTTTTAACCTCAGTTTGGGGGTTAACTATTTGCCAATAGCTGGGACTCTAACAGGTGCTACTACCCCGGGTCAGGGTGGACCTGGGAACACCGGCAATTAAGAGGTGGTTCCACACTATTCAAAATCTCCTGATCAGAGGCCTTGCTGTCGGATGTAGTTTATCGTCTTACCCAGGACGCGGATGTAGTTTATCGCCATACTCGGGACGGAAGAGATATTTTAAAAATACATTTATTTGCAGTTATTGAAGTTGCTTTCAGCATTAAAAAAAATTGTCCGTTCGAAGAAAGTTAAACAATAAGACCTTGGGATGTCGAAATTCGGAATGTTGGGGTTCGATACAGTAACAAAATATTGTTGCGGAGCTGCGCGTAATTCGGCCGTTTAGAATTACGATTTACATTGAAAGAATAAAATTCACTAGAAAAGACACTGTAGTTTCAACAAATGAACATTAATATAACGACAACAATACAAGCAATTGGTCATAGATTGCAAAGTAATGTCTTTTTTCTTGGGTTAATAAAATTCTAAATTTCTTTGTGTACGTATGTGAGAAATAATGAAATGTTGTTATATGTGTGTTTGTGTGAAAAAGTCAACATGTGTGTGCGTGGTTCGTAGTAAAGAGGATACAAGAGATAGAATTGTTTCTTACTGTGGATGGTGTTGCCGTAGTTTGAAGCGGTCTCTTTCAAGTTTGTCAGCGCTGTCGCTTTTAGCATAAGGTCATGAAGTTCACAAGTTAGAGTGGCGTGGACCTTGATGACAGCTATGCGTATACTGTTTGGGGCTGGATTTCGTGTGTTTTATATACTTTCTCGTAAGAAAATCGGCTTCATCCCCCACTTCCTACACGATAATAAATTTACATCTTTCTTTTCTTAACTCTCTCTATATGAATTCTTTATATCTTTCTTTTCCCCACTCCCTATATATAATTTCTGGCAAACACACAAGATACAATGTTCACAGAGTTTTCTACAATAATAAGTTATTGCTTAGAAGATACTGGCGTACTGAGCAGATATTCCGTCTTCTGATCTCTAGGAAAAGACATCAGATACGAGTGATGTGCAATTTTTTTGTTTAAATGTTATCTTTAGTAGAAACTCGTATTTGTGGAGATGCTCTTTTTTTTTTTAAATTATCAAAGTTTATTTCTTTATTTACATCTATCGGTCTGAATATTTGAGAAATCTCCGGCCGGTTTCGAACCTGCGTCCCCTCGGGGATACCGTTATCAGATCCGACGTGTCTTGACCTCTCGGTCACGTAGAATCTCCTGATCAAATACAGCCCGAACAGTGCTTTTCAACACATTTCCCCATTCTCGAAATATATATATGTGCCCTGTTTCGTATCCTGACGCAAATAAAGACATTTATTAGGAAAATTGATTAAATACAACATATTTTTTTTTTTTTTATATACATTTTAATTTATTCATTTTATTAAACAAATAAATTAGGGATAATTTCTACACTCAATTAAACTCGCCAAACGAAGAAAAAATTAAGAATACTAGAAATACTTAATAAAAAAAATTCATCAAATTTTTCTTGTCGGTTATATTCAACGAAACAAGTTTGAAAGAAAGGTTGCTACCGAAATATACATCATATACAGAGCATGATTGGTAAATTGTCGCCATTTATATTTTTTATTTCGCGCATGCGCGTTCTTTGTTTTGTCGACTGTACAGTATGGTTGGGTACCGTTTTTGAGAAAAAGAGCACCATGATGCAATTCACCTCGATAGAAATTTGGAAACGGTATACTGTATTGCTTGCCACTAGCACCAGAAATTCCAATACGAACCTTTCAGAGTCTTTAGGTATCAATCTGTGGACAGTGCAGATAATCCGGAAAAAGAGTCAAATGGTGATTAAAAAGGTACAGCGGCTCGTAAAACTCACTCTGATCGTTCTGATATGAAAAGAATTCTCGAATTTGTTGGTGAGAGCCTCAGATTCAACACGGAGGCCTACATCAAGTTCATTGAGGAGGTAGTGCTGCCTTGGGTCAAGAGGGTGGCTGTTGGAAACAGGACTCTGCACCATGCCACACAAGCAGGAGAACCTAGTCATGGTTATCAGACAATTTCCGCGACCATATTCCCACTTACATCTGGCCACCTAACTCCTCAGACTGCAGCTCCCATGATTATTATGTGTGGGTCACAGTTGAGCGAGAGACCAAGAAAACTCCTTGTAATACCAACGATGAACTGAAGGCAAGGATTATGGCAGCATTCACCAACTTAAACAAGGAGACCGTACCAGAAGAGTTGCAGGAGGTTCCGAAGTCGTCTGGAGAGCATGGTTGAAGCCAATGGCGATTTTAATGAATAAATTTACTCTTTCAAGATATTTATGTGCAATTTTGCTAAATATATTTGGTAAAATGAGATGTCAGTATTATTTTCATTTTTGCGTCATTTAGACGAGAATATATCCATCGCACTCTGTATATGTGTATCTCTCTCTCTCTCTCTCTCTCTCTATCTCTCTATCTATCTATCTATATATATATATATATATATATATAAAATAAACAGTAAATTCAAATCGATGATATATATTACTTTATAGTTTGTATCTATATTTGTTTCAAGCTGTCTATCAGTGTGTGTACGCGCGTGAGAAGGGTATCTGTATTCCCGTGTGTAATTATACTTTGTGTGTGTGTGCGTATGTGTGTGTGTGTGCGTATGTGTGCGTGTGTTTGTTCGCATGTGTGTGCGTGCATGCATACGCGCAAGCACTGTGTATTCGTGTGTGTGTGTGTTCGTGTACAAGCACTGTGTGTGCGTGTGTGTGTTCGTGTGCATATGTCTGTGTGCGTGTGTGTATGTGTAGGCATTGCCAAGATAAATTGGATGGACGAGTGAATTCTTTTCCTGTTCAGTGAGCCTATTATTAGGATCATTAAACAACAACAAAAAGGTCATATACATATTCTTTATACGGAACCATATTCCCAGCGATGTTTTATGGAATAGAATATATTAACTTTATTTCTCCTGAAGAAACAAATAAATCTTTATTATATAATCAGTTATAAATAACTTAATTCGAATGCCGCCCGTAGGTCGACATTTTTAGTCATTTCCCGCGCAAGGTCTAAATAAGCTCTTATTGAACTCAGCAAAAAGTTCATTGATTCGATATATACATTTATTTAAACATGACCCATTTGAAAATTATTAACATCATAGACTTTTGGGCTATATTTAATTAAAATATCTGGTAACGTTTCACCAAAAAAATTTCAATGGCTCATATTTTAGAGAAAACTATACTGTTATCGATTTCTATTACAACAATAGTATTTACTGTTTATGGATTTTTGTCTATAGCTGTGAAATGAGATATTATGATTACTTGCTTTATTTGCATTATTCGGACTGTTATTCTCATCTTCATTACCATATTCACAACGTTTCATCCGTTGTACGATCCAGTCTTCTTCAGGTAATTGAAATTTCGAACCGAACCGTTTATTTCTAACACCTTCTTTTTTAATATCTGCCTATATCTCTCAGATGAGGTATTATGATAATTTACATTATTCGGACTGTTATCCACATCTTCATTGCCATATTCACAACGTTTCGGCCATTGTATGCTCCAGCCTTTATGTCTATGTCTCTCTATATATGAGATGAGGTATTATGATTACTTACATTATTTACATTATTCAGACTGTTATCCTCATATATGAGATGAGGTATTATGATTACTTACATTATTTAAATTATTCAGATTGTTATCCTCATCTTCATTGCCATATTCACAACGTTTCGGCCGTTGTACGATCCAGTCTTCTTCAGCTGATTGAAATTTCGAACCGAACCCTTTATTTCTAACACCTTCTCTTTTAATATCTGCCTATATTTCTGAGATGAGGTATTATGATTATTTACATTATTCGGACTGTTATCCACATCTTCATTATCATATTCACAACGTTTCGGCCGTTGTACGCTTCT